TTGCTGAAAGTTAATTAAAAAAGAAATCAAAAGGGTCATGGCAGATCCGAGTTAGACTGACAGACACAGACTTGCACAACTGATAGGAAGATTTAGGAGCTAAGTCACAAGAAAGTTGTTAAGGCATTATTGCTAACAAGATTACCAACTATTTGTGCTGCCAAGTCACTTAGGAAGAAAAAAGTGCTTACACAAAGCGAGACAAACTCGGCATTTTCTAAGCTACACCATCACTGCTACCTGAGCCTATGTTAAGTAGTTCCTTTTCAATCTATATAGCCACATGATACTAAATCTAGACAAAAAAAGCAGAGCAAGCTGATTTTAAAAATGGCAAGTTTGCGAGTTTTGACTTCTATTCAGCATGCACCTCAGTTCTCCAGTCTAGTAAAGGATCCCAGCTTCCAAACCCCTTTCACTGGCATCTTCTAGAATGACTTTTGTAACCATACAAAAATTTTATAGCTGGATTTTCTGTCCAAGAGTGAGTCACATAGCAGGACACTAGCACAGGGCACTGCTCTGCCAAGTACTATACAAATGTAAAACAAAATGGTTCCTGCTCTGAAGAGTTCACCGTGTGAGGAAGCTTGTTCTGCTCAGTCCTTATATGTCTAACTCCACTGTAATGTCGGCTGGAGCCTTCTTAAAAACTTTTTTCCAAACAAAAAGCCCCTCTGTAGCTTCAAACAAAGAACTCTCTCACATTAAAATCAACTCCTTTTTAACTATCTACCATCTAACCTGCCCGTATAAATGCATGATGCTCTAATTATGAGTACTCTCTTTTGTTCGTTTGTTCCAGCTACCGTTTATTTTGAGATCTCACAGGCAAAAACCATGTTAGTACCTACGCCAGGAAGGTAGCTAACTGCACTCTGACAAGTGTTAAAAAGAAGAAAAATATAAAATCAAACCATTAATAAACTCCTACCAGGTCAGACATGTTTGCAAAAGAAAAACGGGGTAAAAGCTCACTTTGTCATAAAAATGTTACTTTATGCAACAAATCACTCATGCCAATCAACTGGCAGAATACTATTTGGAGAATTATTAAAAGAATGGACAAACAAGTACTGTTTCAAAAGGAAACAAAACATTATTAATAGCTGAAATGTAAAATGGAAGGAATGAGATTGATCTTAGATATGTTGTGATTGTGACATTCAATATATCGCTGCCCAGATTCTGACTTTTAATTGCTAGTGTAAACTTAACTCTGGAATAATAGATACATTGCAAGCCCCAGATTTAGTAGTAGAAAACGGCCCAAATACTGCATCAATATGCCTGAAGATGAAGGTCTTTTTTGGAGCAGGATTTAATTTTTCATTAGTCCTTACCGATCCAAAGCCAAAGTCCTTACCAATCACTGATCATTCTGATCCTGGTGTTTGAATTCAGGCTTCTCCCATGGCAATGAAGTGGGGCTAAAGCCCCCCCTTCTCTTGCACGTTAATGGTGAAACTGCCTCAGCCGGGCAATGCAGCTTTACCTCTTCAAAGGCAGGGGAGAGGTGTGAATAAAGTTGTTTCTAATAGGTAAAGGGCCTTACTATCACCTAGGACAAATATGCCAAGGAAAATTACTTTTATTGAGTGACTAAATAAAGGCACTAGTTAATTTGCCTATTCTGTGAACTCATACACAAGTATATTTTTAAATCTGCCCTTCCTGGCTAAATATGCCACTTGTTTTATCATAGGGGCATGTTCCTGAAACCAGACTTTATATATTTATCTTCATTGTATATTTGGCACCAGAAGATCAACAAACTGCTATCTCTTTTTGCTTTCTGGCAATGACAGAGAGGGTTAATTTAATTTCCAAAAGACAAATATATGGCATTCTGCAGGTTCACGTGTTACTTATATTGAACAGTTTGTGGGTCAATGGCCCATGCTAACTAGATGGGCTTGTAGTATGATAAGAAGCAGATAGAAATGTCTCACTAGATAGAGGATTTTCCAGTATCCAACTCACTAAGAACAAGTAAGTTATTATTCTGTGATGTACCTCTGGAAAATTTTCCATACATGAGAACCAGTGGTCACCACCAAACGTCATGGCAGCACAAAACCAGTTGGTGAAATAGCTAAGAAAGGACCCAGTCCATCCACTTCCATAGTGGATTTCGTTGCTGAACGCAACAGGAGCAAGGTCATACTGAAGAAATAAAATATGGCTTTGTAAGATCTAAGCCCATTAATGTGAGCTAGGTCCATTTGCTCTGAATTCCTCTCCTTCCCCACTGACTCAGCCTTCTTTCAGCTAAGGGTGACTCTAGGGGATTATCTCCAGAGCCCATTAAATGTGGCTCCAAGGTTAGCCAAAGGCACTGCTGCTGGAGGACAGGACACTTGCAGGTGTGACAACACTGCCTTTTCAGCATTTGGGGTAAAGATAGAATCTGGGATTTTGACATTGGGCTGCCGAGTACTGCATCCAGTTTTTATTGTTGCTCTCTAAGCTGCTCCAAACACTTTCTGTGAGACTAACCCATACAGTTTTTCTACTGAACAGCATTTCCTGTTATTCATCCTGAATTTGTTTTTTCCCAGTTCTAGTCTGTAACCCTAATTACTCCTTCTCCTCCCTTGCTTCCTTCAACTACTCGTGCTCCTAATTAGGCAAAAAGAGAAAAATCAATCTCTAAGAAAAGTGGAACTTACTTTAAGTAAATATCATGCATACCTAATTAATTACTTAACAGTTGGCATGAAAGCACCTCACAGTGGGAGAACAGCAACATGTTGTTCCCCAAGCGCCAGAGCTAGCAGGTACTGTCAGGAAAAAACCTAAATGGACCATCATGCAATGCATCCCCTCAGTGTACCAGAGAGTATGTAATAAGGTTTAAAAAAAAAAAAAAAAAAAAAAAAAAAAAAAAGTTCTAATCCTCATTCCATTTCTTTCCATTAAAGGAGAAAACTCTAGCATTTACTTCCCCGTGTAATATTTCTTTTCAGATCCTCTGCAAATATGTGCAAAAGGAAGCTTAACTTTGAAGTATTGATAATACTGACCATCTAAGCATGACACTAGTGTGATAATTCAGGTACAACTCAAAAATAAGGACTGTTTTTTCTCTCCCTGCAAGAAGCTGTCCTGAAACAGTGAACACAGTGGTGACCTTTGATCCTTACCTCTATGTAAAGCACTGCTAAAGTGTGACATCCTGACAAAATGCCAGGTCTGGGTTGTTATGACCGCAAGTGACACCTAGCCCAAACTGGATGGGCTACGTCATGTGCCCTCTACCATCCAGGCAGGTGGTAGAGCATTTCTGTACATGAGGATCACTGTAAACATAACAACACTGGATTTTCAGCTCCACAGTACCATTTTTAAAAGTGAACAGGAGTTGAGGAATTGTAACAGTCAATTACTCAGATTATTTCAGTCAAGAAAACAGCTTTCTGCAACACCACAACACTAAAGCTTTGGGACTTGAGGAAGCTCCACCATAGCTCAGAAGCTTTGATACAGAGATGCTGTCCCTCAGATGCACTTTAATAGGAGACATGAAACGTTGAGATGTATAATTTCTTTTCACTCTAAGTAACACCAAGAAAACCCTTGAAATCTTGCTTCCAGAGTAAGGCTGATTAAATTGCAGTCTCCCACCTTCCCTATCCTGTCAGTCCTTTTTACAAGGATGGTATTTCTACCAGTCAACTTTTTCTCATGTACATGACAATTACCACTATTCAATACAGTTCCCTCTGGTGAAAATTATCGTGTACTAATAAACACAATTGTTATGCTACTTCAGACACGTGCCAGACACAATGCACCTGCTACCATTTCCCTCTCCCCATCTACTTTGGTATCCCTTTAATGTAGTACTTGGGTACCTTTTTTTCCCCACCCTACCTGAAGACAATGTTGTTTCTGACTGCATACACTTTACAGAAATCCTCACATTTCAGTGCTTGGAACACTGCACAAGGATTCACTCGTGGTGAACCATTGTGTGTATTCATTTAGTTCTCATTTAATAACACTGAAAATAGTCTGGATAAAATGAAGAAAGATACACAATCAAGAGTGCAGACCCCTGTGGCAGGCTATAGTTCTTACTGTGAACATGAACTTTTTGCTACAAGATGCAGGACAGCATTATAGCATCATTCTAAATATAATTCCATCAGTGTTTTATGAAACAAATATGAAGTAAAGAAGTTGTTGGGTTTTTTTTTTTTTTGTATTATCAGTTATCTTGTCTATTTTTGTCCCAAGGAAAATATATTTTGTCTAGATATAATACTAACCTTCATACGAAATCAGTCTAGAAGGTTTTGATTATCCAGAATGTGGAATATAAAGAAATAATTCAATTTGACAACAGTAAGCGTTCTCTCTGAGGACTTTTACCAAACTCTGTACTGTTTTGAAATTAGTTAAAAGTCATCAGGCCAGTGGGGTTCAAATATTTCAGTGTCTGTTAAGGCAACAGAAGCATCTGTAGTGGGGCATTAAATACACTGGGAATCAATTTTCCACTCTGATCTGAACTATATAACTTGAAGTTGTAGCAATTTCTTTCTATAACACAACTCCTCTTTGCTTCTGTGTTTCTTATTGCAATAAAACGCCTGAAATATTAAACATACAGAAGAATTCAATTAGAATTTGTAAACCAGCAATAATATTATTCTGGTTTCAATGTTCTAAATCCTTGAAGTTCAGCTTAAATAAACGTCATGTATCAGCTCCTTAAACAGCGCTGGCAATGTAAACAGCATTTAAAAATGCAAGAAGTTCAACTTTATAAAAATTACATCTGCAGGCTGTTAAATGAGACTCTGCAAGAAATGTCAAACAATGCTGTTCCTTGAGTACTCCACTGAAATAACAAGAAAGTTGCATCTGGAAACAATTACTGGCACAGGACTTAAATATAAGTATAGCATTACCTTTAATGAACTAAATACTATTAATCAAGAGCCAGATATAGCAGTGTGCCATCCAGCTGGCTTGTAATTCAATTAATTTACCTTCTTGGGAGATGACAATGGACTTTGATGATTTGATGGCTTTGCTGTCTAGAGTCCAGGTGACAGCTGCAGGGGGATCAGAGGAAATCCGACATTGTAAGACCAATTTTTCACCGTCTACTACTTGAGCATCCTGAAGCTTCTCTGTAAAGGAGGGTGCTGTTCCTTTGCTTACAGGTGGTTTGCTTGCTGCTGGTTTGTTTTCAGGTTTTTTCCCAGTTATTCCGCCATCTACTACTTGAGCATCCTGAACCTTCTCTGTAGAGGAGGGTGCTGTTCCTTTGCTTACAGGTGGTTTGCTTGCTGCTGGTTTGTTTTCAGGTTTTTTCCCAGTTATTCCGCCATCTACTACTTGAGCATCCTGAACCTTCTCTGTAGAGGAGGGTGCTGTTCCTTTGCTTACAGGTGGTTTGCTTGCTGCTGGTTTGTTTTCAGCTTTTTTCCCAATTATTCCACCATCCACAACTGCGCACCCATGTTCACAGTTTCTGTCATTCTTCTCTTCTTTTTTCACTGCTGGTTTGGCAACAGGGGCTTGAGAATTGGGGGTCGCATTCTGGGCTTCAGAATTGGTGCGGGCATTTGGTGCTGGGGTGCTGGCGCTGCCATTCTCTGCAGGTGGCTTTTTCTTTGAACCCAGCACAGATCTGAAATCTGTAATAGCTGGTTTAGGAGGTGGTGCCTTCTCTGGCAATGGGGTTTTTGGGGTGCCCTTCTTGGCCAGCACAGAACGGAAGTCCACCTGCTGAGGAGCATGAACTTTCCTTTCCTCCTCTGACAAGGTCTTGGGTTTGACCTGCCGCTGCAGGTTTGCTCGGAAGTCCATTTGCTCGGCTGGGATTTCTTTCAGTTCCTCCTCAGAAAAACTTTTGGTGCTGACTTTCTTGCCTAAAATGTCACGGAAATCAAGTTGCTCAGCTTCCTGCTGCCTCAGGCTCTCCTCTGTGTGTTCCCGAGTTTCCACTCGCCTCTTCAGCACGCCTCGGACGTCTTCCTGCTCTTCCTCAGCTGCTCTGGTTTCGCTGCTATTCTTTCTGAAGCCACTTGTTCTACCAAATGTTAGTTTACCATGATCTCCACCATCTCTTCGCTCTCCGGGGCTGGCTGATTCCCTCCCACTGTGATCCGAAAAAGAAAAGAGAGAGCCAGGAAAGGGGCTGGTTTAAAAATGTCAGGGAACAATCTCAGAGCAGGAACAAAATGTGTTTATAGAAGGGGAGGTTGATTAGAGGAGCACACTCCATTAGTTTATTGCATCAATGATGACTTCAGGAGCCATATAAGGGCACAAACAAAAAAGATCTTCTCTACTCTGGCTTGGTACAATGTGCTTAGCCTGTATGATGAAAACAATTTGTTGGGTCACATTTGGGGATTATGTTGAACAGCAGCCAGCCTGGGTCTGTAAGGGCAGGGAATTAACAGAGCAAAAAATAGAACCCACCCATGCAAGTCCCTGGGAAAAATACTCACTCTCTGAGCATTTCTGCTCTGGAAGCTGAACTCTTCCACAGCATCAGAGACACCTGGCAGCTGCATTCTCCAACTTTGTTCCTGAAATATTTAAATGAAATCAGAAAAGCAGAGGTTTCTCCCTCCAAAAATGTAACTTGCCTGATCTAAGTAATTGTGTGTTGCACTCAAACCCAGTGTGGCATCCTCCTTTCCTATGCCCAGCACTGTGATGGTTGACTGACTGGATTTGGTCCCCTTATGTTTGGAGCCCAGCTATCTCTAATAGCTTTTACTGATCTGTTGCTGTCTACACTGGGAACAACATACTCCCTGAACAAAAATCAAAGCAATTTACAGAATGAAACAGCTGCAAACAAACAAGCTAAAGGAAAACAAATACAAAAGCTGGAAAATCAAGGCAGAGGAAGGGGCTCTTTTGCAAAGTTGAAAATCTTTCCAACTCTGCCTACTGTTTATTTATTCAAACCCAAGCTCTTAAGTTTTCTAATGTTAAGATATTAAAAGTAGGTCTTATTTCCTTCCCTCCCCCCTGGCCCAACCAATCAGCAAAACCCATCTACATGGATTGCTCCAGCCTGTACATGTTTATATTAAAAAACATAAAAGTGTCACCATATATGGTGCTGAGTACTTATTCTTCCTTTTGCAGAGGAATACCACGGATGCCTTCTGGAAAGGGCTCCCATTAAAGAATTCATTTAAAGTGCTCCCCCCACCCCCGCTGCTCCCTCCCTCCCGCAGATATATATCATTCTTCTAGCCCCAAACCGCTCTTCTCCACTTAACACAGGAGATGCCAAAAGCAAAATTTAACTCCCCCAGGGCAGCAGTTGTGTAACTCTTGCTACCGCTCCCTTGAACTGCTATTAAAAAAACAGACTTGAATTGATTAGGGACTAGAGATATCTTTTATTACTGAAAAAACTTTTGTCCTTCCCAGTTTAAGTATAAGCTTGGAAATGAACTACAAACTCCTGGATGATTTTTTTTTTTCAAACAAAAATAATTTTTGCTACTGAAAACATTTCCTGGACATGAGCAAAACAGATGTGCGTTGGGGGGAGGAAGGAAAGAGAGGCGGGGTTTTCCAGCTGCATTCTCCTTTCAAAAGACTTTCTAGATAAAAGCACCTTCAAGTCCACTTTGCCCTGAAGTTTAAAATGAAGACTCAGGAGTGCCTTTCTGTTAGTTTGCCATAAACATATGGTCTGGCCTGTTTTTTAAACAGCGCATGGAAATACATCCCTAGATATGGTTCTGTTTGGGTGAATAAACTATAATTTCACCCGTTTGCGACTTGCAATGAAGTCACACAGTAGGCAAGATCATTAACACAGATGAAGCACTAAGCTTGGTCTTTATAACAGCAATTATGGCCATCAGCTTTTCAGATGGATTTCCCTTGCTTTCTTGTTGCTTTAGAAAATGAAACAGTCAATCAGCCTAATTTGAAAATCAAGCCTTTAACACCAAGAAGAAATTGTAACTAGATTGCAAAATAAAGGCCCTGCTGGTAGGAACACATCTTATTTGACCCTAAAACCATTACCAACAAGAAGCTGTATAAATATTTTCAACACTTTATATCCAATAAGTCAGAATATGCACATTAGAAACTGCTATTGAAGGCAGTTTCATGAATCCTCATGGATTCATGAGGACAGCACTGAAAGCCACAGCCCTACTTTCCTTCAATACAAAAGACTAGAGAACATCTGAGGACCAAACAGAAACTGTCCAAATGGTAGGAGAGGATCCACGTCAATGCAGAGAGTATTTAACAGTCCTGCACTGGAGACATGCCATTCCTACTTTCTCTTATATATGACCTCCATGTGGAAGCAAGGGGAATAAATAGAAAGAAGGAAAGACAAATGGAAAGACAAATAGAAGGAATTTCACATCACCTTCTCCCAACGTACTGCATACTGATTGCCATCAAATGATGGCAGGGTACCAACATTGCTGAAAACCTGTTGTCTTCAAAATACGCATTTCAAACTGGCCCCTTTTGTCACTATTGAAACTCGTGATTTTTTCCCTGCTTCTCAGAAGCTTTTAAGAAAAGCAGACACACGCTGAAACTGCTCAAGTACTTTCTTATTCAACAGTGCTACAGGGCTGTTAGCAGGCTGTTGGTTTACCAGAAGTTCCTTCCTTTAAGTCTCCTAGAGCTGCTCTTCCTTTAGGACTTAAAGCCAATCCAAAGCTGACAAAGTAGGAGAAGCCACGCAAGCTGAAGTATAGACAATTTACAGCATACATCAAATAGGGAGGCACCACTGCTCAGCTTCTGTCATGACTGTATGGCAAAAATATTTGCCCACAAGGATTGTGTCACCAGTGGGAGAGGTTAAAGCAGCAGAGACAGCGCTCTCCCAGGAGAGGGATCTGGGGATACTGAATGTGGTCCTGACCGCTGCGAAGAATAATAGCATTTCTGCAGGACCCATTTCTGCAATGCATCTTTCCCTCTGCAAATTCTTCACATATGCAAAGAAGCAAATAAGGAAGGCAAAGTAAACCTCTCTAAACTAAGCTATTTTTCACAGGGTTTGGAAAATAAAGGAGGGGGTAAGAAAGCAGGAGAGCATTTTGTTCTTTCTATTTTTAAAACCTTGGGAAGCACTTACAAGTTATGGCAACAGAGGGACACAGAAGTACCTAGATGGGAAAATGATTCACCAGGTAGATTTCTGATGTTAGTTATGATTTCTGATTCAAGTGAATGACTGAAAAGAAGACCACTGGATACAAATCTCAAGCCTGTGTTTGATTCATCACATTCCTGTTCAAGAAGCCTTCTCAGGGCAAGTCCTGCTCCCATTGAAATCAAAGTGAGTTTAGTTACTGGTTTTAGGAGCAGGGAGAACATAATTTTGTCCTCTGAATTCAGTTGCAGAGTCTAAAAGGTGACGTTAGTAACACTGACCCACCTTGGAGATCACCCGATGGAAAAAGAGAAACAAGCCAAGAAAAATAAAGGAGGACTGGATGGTTTAGATGCTAAATTCAATCAAGGATAATTCTGGAAACTTTGTAAATATTTTTACATTTACGCAATTTCAGAATCTAGGCAAGGCAAAATACATAGGGGCAGTTAGAACAGAACTTTGCAGTACACAAGCACTACTTCAAGTCTTTCACATCTCTGCTCTTTTGAATCTCGGCAATATTTCTTCTGCACCTTGAGGTTCTTCATGTTGGCATTTTATCAACAAAAGATGAAGACAGACCTTAGTGGCTCTGTTATTGTGGAATAATGATAGACATGGATAAAACCTATCCTCAGTAGCTATGCTGTAAAGAAGTGTCTGCGAGTGTTGACTCTTGCAGGATTGTTCTGTAGAATGCCCATACACAGGACTTATCTTTAAAATGTCAAGGAATAATAATAATAAAAAAACTCACCAAAAACAAATAAAACCCCAGCTGCAAAGCCTGAAGCAATTTTAAAAATAGCTCTATGTCCTATTGTGGGATCAGTTTTCCCTGGAATGGCTTTTATGTTCAAAATATCTTGATATATTAGTTTCTTGGCAGAATGTACTCAAATATTTCTGCTGAACCTTAGATGAGACTTATTGTCTGCGTGTCCCTAGGAAGCACTCTGGAGGAAGAGGAAAAAAAGCACTGTTAATTATAGTGTGGGGACACATCAAAAATTCCTACTGGCCTACCAAGTGTGAAACAAGTATTGCAGAGTAAATTACATTTTTTTTAAGAATGAACTGGCAAAAGAATGAAGAGGCAAAAAAGTTGAACCCTAGATATAGCTGGTGCTTCGGTGCAGGTAACTGCAAAGGCTCAGAATAAGGGTTTGCAACTCTTTTGTGAGTTATTTAAATGGAGAGAAAGTCCAGACTCCATGAAGCTTTAACCCCAAAGAAACAACTAATCTACTGGATCACAACATTAGCTGACATAAAGCAGAGCAGCTCTACTGGCTTCAAAGAGGATGCACTGATTCGCCTTACTTGAGGTTGGCCAAAAGCTTTTTATACCTGAAAGACCAATCATTTTATTTGCATTTTACAGCATTGAGTGGGAGAATGGAACAGGAAGGGGTCATGGTTTTCTTTCCTAAATCAGACAATGTGTTGACAGCAGAAAGCAAGGTTTGCAAACTGTATTTTACAGAAAGATAGAACTATATTTACTCTTTGGTGTAATGGAATGTAATCTTACAACTGCTTTTTATATAACCTGAATTGCAGAGTATTTGAGGTACTACGGATTTATAAGATGAATGTTTACCTTTGATTTTAATCAGATTATCAAAACCTCTAAATAATATTAATCAACACTAACCAAACTTCTAGGGAAGATGGAGTAGAGGAGAAGCGAAATACTCAGCATCTGAGAAGACAAAGATTAATAAAGCAGATGATTTAAGGAACTGCAGGAGGATTTCTGAGGTCTCTCATGTTGACTGTGCTGTTATAAAGATAAAGACTTTGCTTAACAAACACAAGTCTCTGCCCAGTACTCCCAATTTCTTTGCTTACCTCTTCATCTACGACTTACACACTGACTGAAAGAACATGGGAAAGTGATACTGGGATAAAACAATACCAGTGCTTGCATCACTGGAAGGATGCAAGGACAGGAAAAGAAAAAGATGTCTGTAGCTTTCTGAGTCAAAAAAGAGATTGTTGTTTCCCATTTCAATCCGATGATTTCACAGAGACTCTGACTGATTTCTTATCCCTCAACTGCACGGACTGGCATTTTGCAGGCTGTAAAATGTTCAAATTTCAATAGATGAATCACAGTAGTGGGTGAATCTGTTGTTCTTTTTATATTTATGCAACACCATTCCTTGAGGCCTGAGTAATAACATGCTCAATGGAACATTATTAGGACAATTAAAATGAAGAATGCAAGTGTACAGGAATAAGAGGTCTGTGTATGTTTAAAACTAGCACCAGGAGAGGCTACAATGACTACCCTCCTCAAAGTCAGACTTAGTAGTCTGCTGTATAGTAAAAGGCAAAGCAAACAGATATTCTAGATAATGCTGAGGGAGGGAAAGACAGAAAGCCCACCAGCAATCATTGATGGATCACACTAGGATCACAGTGGGCTACACACCCTTGTCAGCTCACTGTGATGAAAGGAGAAAGAACTAGGAGGAGACAAATAGATCTTTTGTTAAACCCCAGTTTTTAAGACCAGAGTTTTAATTTGTGGGTAGCCAACACAAAAGGAGAATTGTGAAGGTATTAGGACAGAATTCAGAGCTTAAGAATAATAGAGAAGAAGAAAATTGGAAAATAATTAACACTGGTAAGAAACAATGCCCAGACTAAATTAAGGGAGTTGAAGAAAGAATTACCTCCCTAAAAGCAGCTATGCAACATGCTTCTAAAATTAATACATGAAAAGGAGTTGCACATTTTATTTGAAAAGAAAATGATTATGTTTAAAAATAGCCCAGTGTCAAATTCTCTATAAACTCTTCAGTGAATTGACTTGTGGTTTCACAGTTATTCCATATTTTTAATGGACTTTGTAGGAGTTTTTGAGAGAAGGACTAAATGCAGCTCTCTTCCTCTCAGGTACTGTTAAGACTGTTTCTGAATATATAAACAATTCTCAATCAAGTATTCAAGACAAATGCAGGCAGTTCAAAAGCTATTTAGACAAGGCTACTTGCTGCTGAAAATTATTTTAGCTCTATTGCAAACTTGAAGTTATACAGCTGACATTTGGCTCCTTGGATATTCCTGAGGCAGTTGCTTCTCTGTATATAAGCAATTGCCTAAAAGCATAGAGGCTTTCTGTCCCCCAAATATTAATGAAATGTTACAAATGGCAGCAGGGTAAAAAGAGGCATCAGTGTTCCCCTTGCTCTAATTGCAGCATAGCTTTACTCATTATGGATTAGAAAAAGGCAACATGAATGCACTGGTCTTTGTGGGATCCCCAGCTATTTCTCCAGTGAAAGGATTAGGGAATTATTGAAACTAGCATGTAATCTGCTGTGTTGATTTCTAGCTATAACTTAACTTCTTCTCACCCCCCAAAAATTTCTTCTCCTCCTCTGCTAAATTTATTATCTTAGTGTACATTCCGTTATGTTCTAGAGTCATGGTACTGCCAGGCTTCCACTTTGACAAATGTCTTCAGTGACAAATTTGGCCTGGGTGACCACCAGCTACACCTGATCATTAAGGTCCACATGCTCAAGTAAGCCACATCAGTCTTCCACAAAGCCCTGTTATCTCTCCTCTGTTCTTCCTATTCTCTTCCCTTCTTCCATTACTGAAGTTTTGCTGAAATATGTCATTCTCTTTCATTCAAGTGAAATCATCTGTATATCACAAGAGAAGATGCCCGTGTCCAGGGCACACAAACCGAAGTGTGGAAATGTACCAGTAGAAGGTAGCAATTCTCACAGTTGCTCTCTCATGTAAAGGCTAGTGATCTTAATAAAATTGAACTGGCATTTCTAGTCCCACCAGAGGTACTGAGTATTAGAAACACCACTGATCTTAGATGCAACGATATATGTAGACACAACCTGCACAAATGAGCATTATGAATGCCCTAGATGACCTGGCCTGATTGCAAATAAGCCAATTGTTCTGAAATGAGTCAGTTCACAATTTATTGTAGAGTACAATGAGTCTAAATCTACTGAAGATCTTATTTGCAAAAACGTCATGAGACATATGACTTCAGCTACATAAATGTTAGTAATAAGACTTGAAATTAAGTGTAGAAAAACTTCATTATAAGAAATCTTGATAACAGCTATAATTTTCTAAAGCACCCTTAACCTAGTAAAAAGTAAGTGCCTTGTCTGACTTTAAATACTAAAATATACTGAGGCTAGTTTGTGGCTGCCTGTGATAGTCTATGGAAACATAGCTTAGAGCTAGGCATCTACACAGTGACATGTCTACCATTCAGGCAACACTGGTTAGAAAATAAACTATAACTATCAAAAGTTAAGGTCACTGTTTAGAGGCTAAACAGGTTAAATTTATTAAGAAATATCCTCCCTCCTTGTGTTAGGAAGATTTATAATTTATTTGCAAGCAGGCAAAGGGCAATTCAGTTTTAAAATTTTATACTAGACTGAAGTCTATGAAACAAAAATAACTTCTTTATAGCATGAAAAAAGAAAAAACACCATAAAAATGGCAAGTGCAAGTGGTGCAGAACACTTGGTAATACTGGGCAATATCTGTCTAAACTGCCTACTGAACTGGTCCATCTGGACTAAAAAGCTAGTGTGTGGAGCAGAGCAGATAATTTTCTTTCACTGTAATAGATTCAATGTCCATGATGGTTAAATTAATTTTAATAAAGAAAGTCACAAATATTAGCCAAGTAAGGCAATACATCTATGCACAGTAAATAACACAAAATGATAACATCAGTTTAAAGTTGTACACTAAGTTTTCTATAACCACATAGGGAATATGCAATTACGCTCAATTTTCACCACTGGAGATGGAAAATACTGTGGTACTTTCTACAATGTACAGGACCAGCAAATCTGATTCTTCATTTAAAGGACAATTCTTTTACCAGAAAAAAAAAAATTCAAAACAGCTCTTCCAAATTTTGTAGGAAGAACAAGAAATTCAAAGCATCAGGGTGCCTCATTTCAAGGATACATCAGAAAAAGGAGACTCTAGCTTCCATATAAAATTCTAGCATTTCAAACATGGCCAGGAAACAATTTCTCCCATTAAAGGTATGGATCATAATCTTGTGGAATGGCCCTTCTTGATCAGGTTGTTCCTATGGAAAGCAGGCATCCTTACAAATATCCAGAGAGATGTCAAACATGATAAATTATAGCTCCAAAATCAAGACATTGACTGTGGTTTCCTTTGCTAGAACCCCAAATTTCTTCCCATGCTGCTGCCATAAACCTTTGTTTTTCAGGATCCCCAAACGAAACTCTAGACTGCTTTGTCCTTCTTTCTGACTTTTTTTATGTCTCCTCTTTCCTCTTTGAGTTTTATCAGTTCTTTTCATCCCTCAGAAATATTTTGTTCCTTTAGTACCCTACCGTTTTGTGTGAATAGGAGGAAACTCTTGTCTTCAGGCAGGAATTTCAACTTGAGTGTTAATATAACTAATTGTTTCAAGGGGACAACTCTTTTCATGGCAAACATACCTGAGCTGGATTTCATATTGCCCTGCATGATGAGACTGCACATTCCTCAAGATCAGTGTGAAGATGTCTTCATTTTGCAGGATTTCACATGCTGCTCCTGGCATTATTTCTTGCCCATCTTTAAACCAGTGAACAGTGGGGAAAGGATCTCCAGCAATGGCACAGGATATAAGGACAGGTTGCCCAGGAGCTGCTATCACTGATCTCGGTTTGCTAATGAACCAGGGCTGAATACCATCCTGAGGTTCTGTAGTTTACAAACACAGTTTAAAAGTCAGGAGAAAATGCCAAGCTTGGATGTAACTAACGAGCTAACTAACTTCAAGGAAAGTAATCACAGACAAGCAGAGTTATTTTGAACATGTGAGCTATAAATTTTTAATCTGAAAATAAGTCAGGCTTTAATTTTGCCAGTAACTTGTGTTGGTACTGAAAGTAATCATTTACTTGGCACTTTACTGGCTCAATCCAGGCTTATATTAAGAGCAAAACAAAGGGACTTTAAAGCTGCCCTAAAAGGAATCTTGAAGATTTCTCCTTAGAGAATAAGGGTAGGAATAGCTTTAAGGGCAAGTGACAGTACTATCACTGCTGTGCAGTTGAGAGCTCATGTAATAAATCATCATTAACAATTGCATAAAACTGCATTAAATATAGAAGACTGACCCTGAGGCTAGATCTCAGGGGAGCTTGGAGAATAGAGGAAGGTCTGAATTCAGAGCAGACAGTGACAACAAATTACAGACCACTCCTGGAGGCACAGCACTCTGAAATCCTGGGGTTAAGACCCTTTACATTAAAAATAGTGTTTCCTATTGATTTCCAATAATTCTCTGTAATAACTATGAGAAAATGGTGGCATACAGTAAGTCTAGTCCACTGTCATGAAGGTAGTGAATGGCCAATCGCAGGAAGTTTGTAGGTGCTTCAGTGTTTACTGTGGGATTTACATCATATGTGGAGATTCAAAGCCAAATTTTTTGTGGCTAGTTCTCTAATTGCAGAAATCATGTGTTCCTCGCCTGCTAACACTACAATGCTAATATTAAAGCCAGGATACCTGGCTCCTAGACAGCTTTTCCAAATACTCAGGGCTTTAATTAGAAAGAAAAACATCATTAAATGGTTTACATTAAGTCCATAGCTAAGTAAGCCTTACAGTTATAATTTGAAGCTGCACTTAGCAGAAATCTTGCACTGGCCCTAGGAATAGGACTCAGGAATGCATTTTTGAAATAGTAACATAGTGTTCCAGAGTGAAAAGATTTTTTTAAAGTTGCTTCTGCTCAATATCCTTTTTAATTCAAATGCAGAGACTGAGAACTCCTAGCATCTTTCACAACAGACATTATAAACACTCATGTACTTTAAATAGAGACTCCTCCAGTACATTAGCATTATTTTCTTTTAGCATTTCCTAAGGTGGAGAAGAACTTTATACCTTGTACTGTCAATGTAGCCTGCGTTTGAGTTTCTCCTAATTCATTCCAGGCTTCACAGGTGTATTTGCCTGTGTCTTCAGGAAATACTTCCTGGATGTACAGACTGTACTCACTACCTTTCTTCTCAAAGTGGAAATCCTCTGTCTCCTGGATTTCTTTCCCATTGTGCAGCCAAATAATTTCAGGAGGTGGGTTAGCTGAAAAATAGGAAATATTGAAAAAAAGAGACATACACAAAACCCCACCATATATTGATTAAGAATGTGAGCACGGTTGGTTGTTTTTTGCCACCTGATTCTGCAATTTCATCTTCAAAACACTAAGAAATTTCATTAGCTCTATTGATGCTGTGTAATCTATTAAAGTTAAAATACAAATGAATAAGGGAAGTATGTATACAATAGAGAGGGAGAATGAGTTCTAGATCTCATGAAGGTGTTTATCAAGGGTTTCTATTACCAAAGTTCATAACAGGACTGCTCTTTTCTGCAGGCGTAATATTACCCCAGATGACAGGAATTCAATCTTGTTTTGTTCACTCCAAAAGCTATTACAAGTCCACTGAGACTTAGTTTTAGTTCAACAGCAGGACCAAAAACCAACCTTACTATTATTATGCCAGTAAAGAAAGATTTGTGCAGGTCTGAACACATTAATATTGGACAATGCTCATCCACCCTGAAGATCAGATTAGACAAACCTAGCTTTTACTTTTTAAAAAATTCGTTCCTTGAAATATTATTTCCAAATGCAAAGACACCTGCTAAAAGAAAAGGACAATGGAAAAAAGCCCGTACTTTGCAGCAGGATTTAAAATTTTTAAATAATACTGTTCTATAACTACGCACCTGATACCTCGACAGTCATTATCACTTGACTTCCATCCATTACTTTGAGGTCAGTCAGGCCTTTAAGGAAGATGGGTGCAAAAGTCTTGTTTAACTTGGCAGTCTGTGCACTTTCTGCCTTCTTGCTGCTCTTTTCTGTGAAGTCAAGAAGAGAACAAAAGTGGTTTCTTACTGGAATTTTCATGACCAATTTTAACCTGCCTTAGGTTCAGACTGATTTCAAGTCAGTGGTCTTGTTTAGCTCTCAGAAGGCAAAAATCACTAAAAGCACCCAATATAGCTGTTTTCCCTTGCCAGTAGCCCAAGCAGAAAGGTAAGAAAGGTAAGGTCTCCCCTCAGCCTGCTCTTCTCCAGGGTAAAGAGTACCAGCTCTCTCAGCCTTTCCTCGTAAGGGAGATGCTCCAATCCCTTAATGATCTTTGTTGCCCTACGTTGGACTCTCTTCAGTAGCTCCCTGTCTCTCTTTAACTGGGGAGCCCAGAACTGGATGCAGTATTCCAGTTGTGGTCTCGCCAGTGCGGAGTAGAAGGAGAGAATGACCTCCCTTGACCTACTGGCCACACTCTTCCCTATGCAACCTAGGATTTCATTGGCCCTTTTGGCAACAAGGGCACATTGCTGGCTCATGGAAAGTTTGCTATCCACCAGGGCTCCCAGATCCTTCTTCTCAGTAGTGCTTTCCAGCAGGTCCACCCCCAACTTATATTGGTGCCTGGGGTTCTTCCTCCCCAGGTGCAGGACCCTGCATTTGCCCTTGTTGATGATCAATATCAAATGGGTTTGAGTTCACCCACCTACAAGAAGGGCTTAATGGAGGATCCAGGAAATTATGGGCCCGTCAGTGTTACTTCAGTCCCTTGGAAGGTTATAGAATTATGTAATGGGCTATGGGCTATCACAAGGCAAACGAAGCACACGATTGGGAAAAACCAGCATGGATTCACTAAGGGCAAATCATGCTTGACAAACCTTATCGCCTTATGCCATGAGGTAACCTGCTCGGTCGATGTGGCGTGAGCAGTAGACATTGTCTATCTGGATTTTTCCAAGGCTTTCAATACCATTTCCCACAGACTCCTCCTAGAAAAACTGATGCATTACAGTCTACACAAGTCGTCTATGTGGTGGGTGGGGAACTCGCTGCACCCAGAGGGTGGTGATAAATAGCTCCTTTTCAAACTGGCAACCTGTCACAAGTGGCATCCCCCAGGGATCAATACTGGGCCCAATGCTGTTTCATATCATCATAAGTGATCTGGATGGTGGTCAAGTGTACCCAGATGAAGTTTGCTAATGATACCAAACTGAGTGGGGAAGCAGACACTTCAGAAGGGAAAGCCACCCTGCAGGAGGACCTGGGCTGGAAGAGTGGGCTAACAAGAACATTATGAAGTTCAACAAGAAGAAGTGTAACATCTGGCACTTGGGAAACATAATTCAGGAGTGCAGCACAGACTGTGATCTACTTGGCTGGGGAGCAGCTCTGTGGAAAGGGACCTGGCGGTCCTGGTGGACAACAAGGTCAATATGAGTGAACTCTGTGCTGCAGTGGCTAAGAAAGCCAACAGGATGCCGAGTTGCTGATGTTATCAACATCTGTCACAAATAGATGATTTTTTTTGAGGCTGTACAATCAAATGACAAGTGGAGTTGAATTAATCACTCTTAAAAAAAACTCTGTGATAGGTATGTAATTTCCAGTATCCACAGTAGTCTCCTCTGTCTTGAATTTGGAGGCTATGAAGCAAGATCATTTAACTGTGACTTATATGATACACTAGACCAGGAAAGATACTTCTGCTCTAAAAACCTGAGCAAAGGCACTTCTAAAGCCGAGTAGTGATCATGACCAAATGTAAGAAGTCATAAATATTTATCGGTCACTTGGATACACTTTTTATTTTGTTTAGCTCAAAGTTCAGACCTCTTACATCTTGCCTTTAAGATGCCAACTCTAATTTCTGTCCATACATGAAAATAGCTTCATTTTCCTTATTCCCACCGTCAAAATTTTCAAAGGTATATCAAGGACATCCCAAACAGTATCACAGCAACACAAAGTGCCCAGCTGGAAGGAAACCACCATTCATAAAGGATGGTGATTAGAAAATCTGAAAGCACCTCACTGAGCAAGTCCACTGAAGCTCCTGGATGCAGAAAGTTAAACTTGACCCAAGGTTATTTGAGCTCAATGTAAATTTGGAAGGCGCCTTGAGAGGAAGTTTTTCCTCTTCTCTAGCAAAGCTTTTTCTAGCCAGAATCTTGTCTCGCTGGCTTATGTTGTAGGTCTTTTCTTGGCACCGAGCAGTGAGACACTGATGCATGTGAGAATGGAAATATGGGACCTGACTGAGACCCACTCAGCTCTGTGTTACGGACTTACTATTCTGAAATGCCTGATTCACCATCAGACCACATTGATCAGTCTTAGGACTTCCTATAGAACCTGCTTGTAAGTGACTAATGCTGTATAGAAAATAGCCATGAAGTTGGGTCAAACCCATTTACAGTAATAAACTGGTGTTGTTCACCATATTCTTCTAGTTTGTGCTGTTTACTCAGGGAAACAGTTTCAAACAACTGCTGTACTAAGCAATATCAGCACATGCTCCTTCACTAATGCCTGACAGAAAATCCCTTTGTCTTTCAAACTGAAACAGACCTGAGAGGGAAAGCAGAAATCCGTATAATGGGAAAAAGGAGGAAAATAAGAATAAGAATAAGAAAGGACAAAAAGGAAAAAACAAGAAAGTAATAAGACAGGAAAGAGGCAGAGAAAAAAAAGTAAAGAAAAGGACCTTTAAATGATGTTTCTGTTATCCCTTTTATTGAAATAATTCATAACACTGCAAATCAAGAAGACAGATATGCAGTAAAAGAAGAGAAATTAAAATTAAAACAGAGGTGTGGTTCTAGACCAACCAAGAGATAGACTTGGGGTATGATCAGAGAAGTTCAAGCCTTCAGAGAAGGACAGATAACCAAAAAAAGAGCTGAAACAGCTCCCAGGAGAGAGTTAACAATGACCAGGAAACAAATTTGCTAGTAGTGGCTCTAACAGCAATTCTCTCTGAACAAACTGAGCTGCCTCCAGCAGAGCCCTGGTACAAACAGCTTTAAGTACTAGCAACTGGCTCTTTGCTTTATTAGACTGACATGCCTGTTCCATGTAGTCTAAATAAATGTATTTCTGTAATCAAGGAAGACAATACAGTATAACAGCCTCAGCTTATTAAAAAGAAATGAGCGAACAACCACAGAAGGAATAGAGCAAAATCATTTCCCCAAAGGAATTTTTCAGCAATGCTAACTCCTCCAAAATATGTGCTGCAGAAATGAAAGTTTCATGTACAGGAATAAAACCACCTTCTTGCACAGAGCTGCATAAACATTAGAAGGAAGCAAGTAAATAATTCACGGTAATGTATACATGAATCACAAACCCAACAAGATTACAAAAAAGTTTGGCCTCAGTTTCTGAAGTTATCTCAGGCAGATGTGTCCTATGCTGCTGAGGAAACCTGATATGAGTGACATTAAGATTTACTGGGGGTGGAGGGCTCTACCCCTAAAAGAGTGACCTGCAGGATTAATGGATGAAGAACAATTTACTGATCAGTGCTCCCTATTTGTAAGTGAAGCCATCAAATTGAAATGAAGGGGGCAAGAACCTGCCTCATCATCACACAAATCTTAAAAACAGCATTCACACTAAATTTAAGCATTGCATAGGTTTATGCTGATCTCTCGTACTAAGACCAGTTCTGTGCTTAAACTGAAAATTATGACAAAAAGTATCAAAAACCAGAACTATATGGTATATGAGTAGTAAAAACCTAAAAGGGTACAGCTTCAACAGTGCACAAAAAGTTACTGGAGAGATTAAAGAGTTATTTCATTAGGGGAAACTCAATGTAATCACGCAGAAGAACATGAAGACGAACATTAAGTCTGAAATATTGAAAACTTGAGGATTACTCCAGGGACAGAAACAAAGGAAACTACATATCATAACTTTTCTGAAAGACATTCCTATCCTTGTAAATGTATCATATACCAATGCACATACACTTTGATTTAGTCCTAGAAGTATTACCTGATTTCTCAAAACCTATTACAAAGCAGGAGTAAAAACGTCTCGCTTTCTACTGCTGATGTTCTTTAGAGCACAGGGGCAGTGAAGGCATTTCTTTGCCAACAGATATGAAATCTGTTGTACGTAAGAACTCAAAAACTAGAAGTTCTTATGGCTAAGGTAACCAGTATTCCTTTTCAAACGTGTGATATAAAGGATACAGTAAATATATGGCTACAAAGACTGATTCCATGGCAACTTGAACAGGCTTTCTTCAAAACACAAGCATTCTCCCCTACTTTATAAATTATTTTTTTTCCTAATCTTATACTACTGTTGATCAGTTGTATATGTTGATCAGCAGCATATGTTTATTATATCAACAACTTAAGCAGAATACCACAAAAATTTTCTAATGTTTCTTGACTTCGCAGCAACAATTAAAAAGACTTCGGTTTTAATCCATAAACACTATTTGTTCATTAAGAAATCACAGGTGTTAGTTTCATGTAACATTTCCTCCTTTACTTAAAATTTTATATTGTGGGCTTCTAGACTTAGAAAAAAATTAAACTGGCCTAGTGACAACTTCAGTTTCTCGCAGATGTTTTACACAAGACAACACAGCCAGTTTTAGATATGTTATTTAGTCTTAGTCTAAAATCATTGCATTTTCTCAGAAGGGACTGATACAATCATGCAGAGGCCAGATTATCAAGCCTGAATGTTAACTATTTTCAAATTCCTCTGAAGCTTGTAAATGTTTCTTAGTTGTGCATTTATTACATAGCACCATGCAGTGATTCAGTTCTCGTCTGATGAAGGCTGTAACATTTCACAATTTTACCATGAGATAGCAGAGCTGTACATTTTCACAGATGATTTTAGTATACCCAAGGGCTTCTTCAATTTTGGCCTTTACAGCTCTTGTTTGGAAAAACAGCAATGAACTTGATTTAGGAAGGTACTTGGAAAAAGAAGGGACACTGCTCATTCAAGATTAAGTAAATAACTCCTGATCCCATCTACGGTGAAAAGATACTGTGTGATGCTATATCCT